GATTCCTTTCAAAATAGTCCTGCTCATTAACAATGCGCCCGGTCACCAGGAGGTCTGAGTGACCAGGAGATGTACAAGCTGATGATTATCTTTCCAGGCCTGCTAACATAACATCCATTATCCAGCCTAGACATCCAAGAGTAATTCTGACTTTCAAGTCTTACTACTTAAGAAGAAATACATTTTGGGGCAGCGCCTGTGGCGCAAAGGAGTAGGGCGCCAGCCCCATATGCTGGAGGTGGTGGGTTCAAACCCAGCCCCAGACAAAAAAAAAAAAGAAATACATATTGTAAGACTACAGCTGCCATAATAGTGGCAGCTGCCAAATAGTGACTCCTCTGATGAATCTGGACAAAGTAAATCGAACACATTCTGGAACGGAAGCCCCTTCCAGATGCCACTAAAAACAACTGTGACTCATGGGAGGACGCCAAAGTAAAAACGATGCAGTTTGGATGTCTGGTTGCTCCAAATCTCATGCTGAAATCTCTTCTCCGGTGGTGGAGGTAGGCTAGTGAAAGGTGTTTGGGTCATGGGGAGAATCCCTCCTGAACTGCTTAGTGTCTTCCCAGGGTAATGAGCTCTCGCTGTATCGGTTCATGTGAGAGGTGACTGTTGGAACAGTGTGGCGCCTTCCCCTCTGATGGCTGAAAGAGCACGGCACTTTCCCTTCTGGCCTTACGCCGGGCCTGCTTCCCTTCACTGTCCACCTTGGTTAGAAGCTCCCTGAGGCCACCAACAAGGATATGATGCTGCTGTGCTCCTTGTACAACCTGCAGAAGTGTGAATGCAATAAACCTCTCTCCTTTATTAATCACCCAGCCTCAAGTATTCATTCCTATGTAGCAGTGCAAAATGGACCAAAATTAGCAGCAGCCTGGAAGAAGTTGATTCCAACCCTTATGACTGACTTTAAGCGGTTCAAGTCATCAGTGGTAGAAGGAACTGCAGATGTGGTGGAAAGAGCAAGAGAACTAGAATTAGAAATGGAGCCTGAGGTGCGACTGGATTGTGTGATCTTGTGATAAAACTTGAACAGATAGAATTGCTTCTTAGAGCTAAGGAAAGAAAGTGGTTTCTTGAGTGGGATCTATTGCTGGTGAAGATGCTGTGAACACTGTTGGAATGACAACAAAGGATTCAGAATATTATGTAAATTTAGATAACAAAGTAGTGGCAAGGTTTGAGAGGATGACCCTAATTTTGAAAGAATGTTTCATATGCTACCCAGGATCATATGCTACTCAGCATCTTTAAAAGGAAGCATGTTTCATATGCTACCCAAGGAAGTCAATCCATGTGGCAAACATCATTATGACCTTATTCTTAAAATTTCCAAAGCCACCTTCACCTTCAAACAACCACCATCATTTGGCAGCTATCAACATCAAGGCAAGATCGTCCACCAGCAAAAGATTGAAGGCTCAGATGATTGATGATATTTTTATTAAGGTATGTACATTTTTTAGACATAATACTATTATACACTTAACAGACTACAATACAGTATAAACATAACTTTTATATGTATTGATAAATGAAAAGTTTGTATGTCTCACTGTTAAAAATTTTTAATTAATTAATATATCCCTCACCTTAGATTTACTTAATTACTATGCTAAGACATTTATACTCTGTATTAGCAGATCTCAACCTGTGAGTTGTGACCCACAGGAACTGTATTAAATGGTCATGGCATTAGGAAGGTTGAGAACCACTGCTCTATACTTAATAGATCTGACATGTACCCTTGCAATATGCACCATAGGTATGACCCAACCATTCACCATTCTCAAGAAATAGTAAATTAAAAAAAATTTTTTTTAATTAATTAATTACCTTTTTTTTTTCTTGAGGCAGAGTTTTACTCCGTTACCCTCGATAGAGTGCCGTGGCACAGCTCACAACCTCAAACTCCTGGGGTCAAGTGATTCTCTTGCTTCAACCTCCTGAGTAGCTGGGACTACAGGCACCCACCACAACACTCAGCTATTTTTTAGAGATGGCAGTCTCACTCCTACTCAGTCAGGCTGGTCTTGAACTCCTGAGCTCAAGCAATCTATCTGCTTCAGTCTCCCAGAGTGCTGGGATTATAAACTGAGCCACCGTGCCCAGCAGTGTCTCATTTTATTGTCATATTCACTTTATTCCAGTGGTCTGGAACCAAACCCATACTATCTCCAGGAATGCAGCTTACATACATGTGTGTGCATATACACATACTTATTTATACACACACATACATGCACGTTATGTATGTGTGTGTATAAATATGTGTATATTTAACAAGGATCTCAGCCAAGATAAGAATCTGAAAAATATTCATAAATTAGGCAAGTTGGAAGGAGAAACAAACATTTTTAATGCTCATATTGAAGTTAAAGAAAATCCTACCATGACAGAATCACCCTAATTTGGCTGGTAGGGTATAATCAGTCCAATTCTGAGGTAAAATAATTCAGAGCAACACTTGGTAACTGAGCGTCTTTCCCATACCTGAGAGTCCAGATCTTCTCCTTTCATACAGAAGTTGGCATCAATGACATTCAGACCTACCAACAGCCCAGCAATGATGGCTCCTTCTTCTTCCATCATGAGAGCATTGGGTTCATAGAATTCACTGACAGAGAAATACACAGAATTCTTTATTGTAATAAACCCCCAATATCTAATGATATAATCATGAGATGAGAAAAACACTTGCTTCAAGGTTGAATATGGCCATGATGCTAGCAAAAGAGTTGTAAGAAAAGGCTCTGGTAAATATTTTACTTTAGATAACAGGGGCATGAATAGATTCCTTAGGTAAGAGCCTGGCTATGCAAAACGTGATCAGAACGGTACTGTGGTGGAAGCTGAATATGCAGGTTTTCCTGACATGTTTGTGTTTATAATGCACCATAGAATAATTCTGCAGTTTTTATGCATCTTTAAAAATTTACAGTTTATCTTGATCAGGAAAGAGACCATACTGGAACCCGGGAAGTCTGCTTTCTCTTTCTCTCTCAATCACTACCTTCACCTCCCCAACGCAACCATTAGCTTGATTTCTATCATTATAGTTTGATTTTACCTATTTCTGAACTTTTTTTTTTTTTAAGAGACAGAGTCTCACTTTATTGCCCTTGGTAGAATGCTGTGAAGTCACAGCTCACAGCAACCTCCAACTCCTGGGCTTAGGCGATTCTCCTGCCTCAGCCTCCCAAGCAGCTGGGACTACAGGCGCCCACCACAACGCCCAGCTATTTTTTGTTGCAGTTTGGCTGGGGCTGGGTTTGAACCCGCCACCCTCAGTATACGGGGCCGGCGCCCTACTCACTGAGCCACAGGCTCTGCCCTTTCTGAACTTTATATAAACAAAACACATAGTACATACTCTTGTGTCTGGCTACCTCTGTGCAGTATTTCATTTGTGTGCTTTAAATATATTGTATATAGCTGTGGCTAATGTGTTTCCACCACTAGACAGCCTTCTATGGTAGGAATTTACTATAATGTATTTGGGCTATTTATCATAAATAGACATTTGGGTTGTTTCCCATGCCTTTTTCTTTTTGAGACATAATCTCACTTTGGTGCCCTGGGTAGAGCGCCATGTCATCACAGCTTATACCAACTCAAACTCTTGGGCTATGGGTGCTGAGCCAACTTAATGGTCTTCTAATACACTAGTAAGCCAGAACATTTTTTTTTTTCAGTTGGGCTGCCCAAAGGTCTTGTCCTTAACTTGTGCTTAAGCAATTCTCTTGCCCCCACCTCCCAAGTAGTTGGGACTACAGGCACCTGACACAATGCCCGACTGTTTTTAGAGACAAGGTCTTGCTCTGGCTCAGGTTAGTCTTGCACCCATGAGCTCAAACAATCCACACACCTTGGCCTCCCAGATTGCTAGGATTACAGGCATGAGCCACTGTGCCTGGTCCTTCCCATGCCTTTTGTTACTTACACACATGTGCACACACACACACGGTGAAATTGCTGGGCCCAGGCAAGGTTACATATGAAGAGGCCTCTGCCAGGTCCACAAGACTGCTCAGTAACCCTGGTGCTGTGCTGGACAAAGCCGATTCTTCAGACCCCACCTAGAGCCACATGATTCTGATCAAGGACACTCCCTTGGCAGCTACCTATAGCTTGGACACGAGATATGACACTGCTTCAAGGCTGGGCCCTGGGAAGTTCAGATTTCCCTCTGGGGAAGTTTTCCTAAACAGTTCCTATTTCTTTCTCCCAATTAGATTGTCTTAGGCAGGACAATAGCAGTCAACAGCACGTGTAACTGTAACAATGTGGAAACAGTACCCCATTAGGACCAGGATGACAATTTCTTGGAAAGTGCAGCTGTTTCTTTAATTTCTCTCGTACTTTTCTTCCTCTTACATTCTTTCTCAGAGGGAATCTACTACATGTGAATTTACTGTGGTAAATTTTAATGACCTATACAGCATATACACAGAAGTACACAAATGTTACTGTACATATCAGTGCATCTTCCTTTTTTTTGAGACAGAGTCTCAGTATGTTGCCCTCAGTAGAGTGCCATGGCCTCACAGCTCACTGCAACCTCAAACTCCTGGGCTTAAGCAATTCTCTTGTCTCAGCCTCTGAAGTAGCTGGGACTACAGGCGCCTGCCACAATGCCCAGCTATTTTTTTGTTGCAATTGTCATTGCTGTTTAGCAGCCCCAGGCCGGGTTTGAACCCGCCACTCTGGATGTATGTGGCTGGCACCCTACCCACTGAGCCACGGGCACTGCCATATCAGTGCATCTTAATAAAGAGAACATACTGGTGTACCCAGATTAAGAAGTAATGTTACTGGAAGCCACTTTGGCCCTTCTGCTCCCTGTTCACAATGGAAGCCTCTTTCCTATCATAGGTGATTACTTTTGAAAGTTCCCCATCTTTATATAAATGAAACAACACATGATGTGGCCTGTGCTCCCGTCTGCCCAACATTACTCTTAAGGGACTGGCACACATTGCCGTGTAGCTGCTATGTGTGCCTCAACACACCACGACGTGTCCTCCTCTGTGGTGAACAGACACCCGGGGTCAATCACAATGTCTAGGTTACTACAGACACTGTAACAGCCATGGACACTCCTGTTCACGTCTTTTGTTGAATGTAATTATGCATTTCTACTGGATGTAACAGCTATAATTACTGAGTCATAAGGTACACTTATGGTAGCAGATAATGCTAAATAATTTCCCTAAATTTCTGTACCAATTAACTCTGTCCCATCAACAGAGCAATGAAGTCACTTCCCACCCTCCCCAGCACTGGTATCATCTGTCTTTGTCCCGTTTAGGTGGGTGAATGGCAGTATCTGTACTTACGTGATGGCCAGTAAAGCTGGGTACCCTTTTGTTTACTGGCCATCCAATGTCCTCTCTTGTGAAATACAAATTTAAGTTTTTTACCCATTTTTGTATTTGCTTATATCTTTCTTACTGGAATTATGCATCCTTTGTTGAACACATGTTATGAATTACATAGTATACATCTCCTTTCACCCTTGGTGGTGCCTTTCACTGTTAATCCTGAGTTTCTTTTGAACAGAAATTCTTCACTTTAATGTGGACAATATACCCACTTCGTCCTTTGCACTTTTTATAACCTATTTAGGAAATTTTTGCCTGCCTTGTTTTTTTCTGAAGTTTTATTGTTTTGCCTTTCCTGCTTACATCTACGATCCACTTGGAAATACTTTTCGCTCTGTATTTGAATTTAATGCACACATCAAGTTGAGCCTGGGCACACGCTAAGGTGCACTTCCTGTTTTCTGAAGCTAAGTCTGGCCCCATGTGTGCCGTCCGTGGGGACAGACAATACAAAGGACACAGACATCCATTCAGGAGCACGCGTGTGTGAGGCGTGGGAGAAAGTATCAATGCAACTGTTATGAATTACACTGCTTCTAATCTACAAAAAGTGGCAAATTTATATGATTCAACTTTACATGACGATGAAGATTCCAAGAAAAGAATAAAGTACACAGAATTCATACCTGAGAAGTTCTTTCTTATTGATCAAAGCTTTCATATATTCTGAGAGTTTCTTTTGCATTAATGCCAAACGAAGCCAGGCTCTTCCTCTGCCTACTGGCGTCCTACAAAAGCACAGAAAAAAAACAATTAAAAACATAAGTAAGAGTGGCTACAGGGGGACAGAGGAGAGTCCTCCTGCTGACCGCCTCCCACACAGCCAGCACAGCTCTGCTCAGACTCCTCTGTAAGGAGATCTGTGGAGGCTACTAGGACCCAGAAGTGTTTGCGACAAATTCTTGTGTGACCACAAGTTAAGGACAGGACCTTTGGGCAGCTCAATTGAAAAAAAAAATGTTCTAGCTTACTAGTATAAGAAAACCCTTAAGTTAGCTCGGAGCCCATAGCTCAGTGGTTATGGCACCAGCCACATGTATAGGGGCAGGCAGGTTCAAACCTGACCTAGGCCTGCTAAATAATGACAACTACAGCAAAAAAAAAAAAAAAAATAGCTGCCGGGTGGCACCTATAGTTCAGTGGGTAGAGCGCTGGCCCCACATACCGAGGGTGGCGAGTTCAAACCCAGCCCTGGCTGAACTGCAACAACAACAACAACAACAACAAAAATAGCTGGGAGTTGTGGCGGGTGCCTGTAGTCCCAGCTACTTGGGAGGCTGAGGCAAGAGAATCGCGTAAGCCCAAGAGTTGGAGGTTGCTGTGAGCTGCGTGATGCCATGGCACTCTACCGAGGGCAAGGGCAATAAAGTGAGATTCTGTCTCTAATTTAAAAAAAAAAACAGCCAAGCATTGTGGTGGGTGCCTGTAAGTCCCAGCTACTTGGGAGGCTGAGGCAAGAGAATCACTTAAGCCCAAGAGCTGGATGGAGGTTGTTGTGAGCTGTGACACCACAGCGACATAGTGAGACTGTTGTGTCAAAAAAAAATAAAAGAAAACTCTTAAGTTTAGAGTGAGTTACATAGGTACCCAAGCACTAAAGTGAACACAGGCAAGTTGGGCTCTATCTGATTTAAACTAAACAAATTTCATCTGGGAAGGTGATCATTGTCCTTTTTCAGGTTCTAAGGCAGACTGCAGGCTCCAGATCCTAAGGTTTACTTGATGTCTGTTTTCATCTTGATTCTCAACCTCCATCAAATACATTCTTTCCCCAAGTCAAGTCTGGCATGCCATGTCCCTAGGTTGAATTTCTTGAGAATCACTAACGGATTCTTACAAGTACTTTAAAAAATAAGGAAATGTTTGGTGTGTCACCATAAAGACAACTTCTCAGATGAATAATTACCCCTCAAAGGCACACTTTTCTCAGTATTCTCTGTACAAGTTCTCTCACAACAGTGTCCATTCATAATGACATTATACACTTTGAACTGTCATGAAAGACATTATTACAAACATCATTCCCTTCAGTCTCACTCTTTTTTTTTGAGACAGAGCCTCAAGCTGTCCCCCTGGATAGAGTGCCGTGGCATTACAGCTCACAGCAACCTCCAACTCCTGGGCTCAAGAGAGTCTCCTGCCTCCGCCTCCCAAGTAGCTGGGACCACAGGTGCCTGCCACAACGCCCGGCTATTTTTTGGTTGCAGCCGTCGTTGTTTGGCGGGTCGGGGCTGGGGATTCAAACCGGCCATCTTAGGTGTACATGGCTGGCGCCTTAGCCAGTTGAGCTATAGGCGCCGAGCCCAGTCTCACTCTTCAAGGATTTTAATTAGTAATAATGTTGTTCCTGAGAAACAGAATTCAACCTCTGACTTACTTAAGTCCTGGAAGATCTTTAACACTCGCTGTTATCTCTGCAGCTTCTGGAACAAGCTTTTCTACCAGTTCTAGAGGCCCCCAGAAGGATTTATTTTGTCCAAGAAAAGTTTTCTTAGCTAAGATAACAAAAACAAGCAATACTTTAACGTTTTTTACGGCATAAAGACACTCTCTCACAGACAGACACACCCCCTCCCATCTACTCAATATTCTTTTCAGAAAACCAATCCTGGTTAACAGACAGTTTTAGAATTATTCATGCTTTCAGAATATATAACATTTTGTGAAAATAAAAAATTCTCTACTTAAGACTCAGTCCTTCTTTCAAAATAACAACCCAAGGCCTTGCCTTATAATACAATAGTAATATTTTAATAACACAGTATTTAAAACCTAATGAAGAGATAGTCCAATGGAAATGAATATGTAATCCAGAAATAGGCCATTAAATAATGGGAAGGGTAGAAAAAAGAAGCAAAGGGAACAAGACCAGGTCCTGCCCTCAAAAGATTTCACTGAAGCAGGAGCCAGGACGCCATGTTCTAGCACTTGTGCTGCCCCGACTCTCAGTGTGACCTGACAAGCCCTACCCCACCCCCGGGCAGACCCACTTCCACCTGACAACAGGACTGCCACACTGGACTCGTTACTCACGATGGCCTTCCAACTCAAACAGTCACTCATCTGTATGTTTTAAGCCCTATAAGTCCTTTAAGTCAACCATAAGCCTGTTCACATACTGGTTGCACTCCACAGGATCTGTGTTACCAACTCAAGCCTCCTTCTCTACATCCCCACAGAGAACATGCGCTCCCCTCCCACCCCCGCCCCGTTGTCAGGAACAGTGGTGCCTCTGCACACTGGTGCAGCCTACCTTTCAAGCCATGTTTCAGACAGTGCTCCATCACCACAAAGAACTGCTGCAGAGGTGCGTAGTCAGAGTCCAGGGTCCTCCCCAGGTTCAGCGCCGACTCAATCAAGCCCTTGATGCTCAGCTTGGCCATGTTCATCAGGTTCATGCGCTCGTTGGCCATGAGATAATTAGGATCTGCAGCCACGGGTGGTGGGGGGGAGAGGACGAAGCGTGTTACTGGAAACAACACATTTTAAAATTCAGTATTTTCTCACTGTGTTAACATTTGCACCAACAGCACAAAAGCAATGGTGGGTAAGGCTGTTGGTGCTCTGTGGAGTATCAAGGCAGGGGCTCTACACCATGAAATCGGCTGTTTTCTCTACCATGCACTCACTGTGAAAAAGTCATGCCACCTTTCCTTAAGAATATCCTTAAAGAAAGTCAGAATGATCTATTTTATCAAGCCACGAGACTTCAGTGCAGCCTTTTAACATTTTCTCCACTGCCTCTGCCAGCGCCCTGACCTGGTACTCACCACAGCTCACCACCTTTTTACTGGGCTCTCAGCACACTCTGGCTTTCTACCCGCTCATTCTCTACCCAATTTATGAAGTGATCTGACAGTAAGCCAAAGTAAGCAAAAAAGTTTGCTTAAACAATTTATTCTAGGCTCAGCGCCCGTAGCTCAGTGAGTAGGGTGCCAGCCACATACACTGACACTGGTGGGTTCGAGCCCATCCCAAGCCTGCTAAACAACAATGACAACAGTAACCCAAAAATAGCTGGGCGCTATAGTGGGCCCCTGTAGTCCCAGCTACTTGGGAGGCTAAGGCAAGAGAATCACTTAAGCCCAAAAGTTTTGAGGTTGCTGTAAGCTGTGATGCCACAGTGCTCTACTGAGGGCAACATAGTGAGACTCTGTCTCTAAAAAAAGAAAAAAAGTTTATTCCAAGTATGCTATTTGTATGAGAGTCTTTATACCAGTTAGCACTGTTACTAAACTACACATTAGCATTATTAGTATAATGCAGGACTAGATCTTAAACTCTCACAATTTTTAAGACTTAGCGGCTCGGCGCCTATAGCTCAACCGGCTAAGGCGCCAGCCACGTACACCTAAGGTGGCGGGTTCGAATCCCCAGCCCGGACCCGCCAAACAACAATGACG